TACTAGAAGAGAGATTTCTAGCGCTTTCTACTAACTTAAACTAGGGCACTGTTACCTAAGGGACTACCTATATAAGAGAGGGAAAGTGGATTCTAATAGTTGCCCCTGCAACTATAGGTCTATACAAGACCTACCTCATATTCTATTTAGATGCAATCTATATAGAGAGGAAAGGAAAGGACTAAGAGAAGCCTGCGAAGGCGATCTATTACTACCTATCCTCTTTCAAACAAAAGAGGGTATAGAAGCAACTATTACCTTTATTCAAGAAACAAAGGCTAGAACACAAGCCTAGTATAAGGGAAACACAGAAAACGAGGAGTGATACCTGTAACAGGTAGCTATACACCTCCCCCACCCTATCCCCCCTACCTACCAACCAATAGGCTACGAGCCTCACCTTTATCTAGTTAAAACCCCTCCTAAATATCGTAGCTAGAAACAACCTACTTAGATACTTGTAGGCCTAAAAACCCTACACGTCTTATATAGCCCTTCAGGGTGAAAAAGGACGTTAAACTAGAATAACAATAATAATAATAATAATAGAAACAACCTACTTAGATACTTGTAGGCCTAAAAACCCTACACGTCTTATATAGCCCTTCGGGCTGAAAACGGACGTTAAACTAGAATAGTTAATAATAATAATAATAATAATAATAATAATAATAATAATAATAATAATAATAACAAGTGCCAAGACGTTATACACAATCAGCCCCTCATCAAGTGCGCGAGCTAGACTTGTTCGGGACTGCTACGTCAGCCTTTTGAGCGAATCACGAACAGGCGTATCATGTCTCCAGCCTATACCTTGGTCGCTAAATATTTGTGCTGAACCTTTGAGGCACAGTGTTGTGCAGCCTGGTGTAGTTGCGGTATGCAGCATTTGGGCACCGGTGAAGCACGTCCGGTCGGTACGCTTGTGAATGCTGCCAGGATCAATGAACGCATCGATGCTAGAAATCATTTGCGCATACAGATACCCAGTCAAACATTAATTGCATGTATAGGGGGCCATAGCCAAACTCCATGTAATACCACATAGAACAATGGCCGGAACCAGCTATTCTCCGTTTGGGAGTTGGGGATCTGTATTCTTCTTGCGGAGATATTTAGAGAAGCACTTTACAGAAAGCATTGGAATCCCAATCAAGTTCAATCTCAGACGCAGCTGTTCTCTAACTCTAAGCCCAACCACTATTACTACCCATACCCTCAGTGAGTCGGATAGTTTTCAAAGTCAATCTGGCTCACTGGCGTGAGGTCACCAATTTTACATTCATACAACGTAGCGATGGCAACACCGAGCTCATGGGAGAATTCCGCCTGATTTATAGTTCCTCCATGGTTTATAAGCCCACGGGTGTGCCACATAGCCTATACATAACACTTTGTCAATAAAAGCGCACCTTTCGTATCACATACTTTTGTTTTGGATATTTGGTGCTATCTTACTTGGACAGGACAGTTGCAGCAAATTAAAGCTGCTATGTTGCACATCTGCGTTTCTACTGGGTTGAGAATAGCATCCTCGGAGAAATAGTACTCATACACTAGTTGAGTATTGAGTAGGTCTGTTGATCAGACGCCATGAGCACTTGCATGATATGATAGGGGACAATGACATACACAGGTCGGGGTGATATTTGAAATTTTTATCCCTGTTAGCTTGCGCGGCAGCGGGCGTCCACACTGTATCGAAGTACCGCCGTGCCTTTTCGTGTCGAGTTTTCTCATGTATCGCGCGGCTCGCTGGATCAGCCTGCGCGGCCTCCCATCTAGTGGCACAAATCAGAGTTACTCATTGTCCAGGATCAGAATACGTCTTTTACTCACCGTGGGCCGTAATGATCAATCTCTTCATCCTTTAGTGTGCTGAATAGTGGGAGCAATGCTTGCAATGACCTCGGAACGCCATACAAAGCGCTCGTTTTCAGTATAGCCTCTTTGATGCGCCGTTGAACAATCTTCTGGTCATCCAAATCTATTTGTTGTATCGCTGCTTGGTACAGCTGTACAACATCGGGTCCTGCACCTGATGAAGCTAAAGCAACGGCCTATATTATGTTAGCGCGTGCCCATTTCTCCACTTTTACAATGCCACATCACCACAACGATGTACCACACGGCCGTGGTGATATGCTTATCCCTCTCACGATCTCGGAATTCGCGGATGATTTCCTCTAAAGACAGCGCCATATCGATGAGAAAGACGAAAACGTATAGAGATGGCAAAAATAAATCACTTTTAAATACAGATTATATGTACTAGGACTGTAAAGAGGTTTATAGAAGAATATTGAGAGGATAAGGGTATCATTCCGGCTGGCCCGGACCGCACGCGGGATGTGGAAGGACTTTCGGTGGAGCCTAGTGCGACTCTTTATGCACGTTAGCAGGATTCTTATGAAGCTAAGAAGAACCTATAGCGTTTTGTATTTTACATGTATAGAAAACTATCTCATCTTTTTTTTTAAGAGAGTAAGTCTAAACCTTTTCTTTTAATTCTAATTAGTATTAATATTGTCTAAGTATTTTAACTTTAATATAAATCTTAATTATCTATATATAATTGTATAAGTAATGAGAGATAATAAAAGGTATAATAGACTTATTATTAAGTTAGTTATCAAGCCTTAATTTATAAGCGAATGTTAAAAGATAGTATCAAAAAAATAATATTTTTTAACTTAGAAATTCAAACCTTTATTTTAAGTTTATACATTATATAATATCAGAGTATAAATAATTATGTTTTAGAAGAATGTTTAGAGAAATAGTATAAATTTATTTCTGTAAGGGGCTGCGCTCCGGGGAGCAATTGCGAGGTATACAAGAGGTTGTATTCGATAGAGAGCTATAGAGTCTACTTGCGTGGTGTTTATTTACTTGTCGGAGAAAGGTTGCACCGAGTGTCTGAGCGCGTCGTCTGGGCGCCGCTCAGGCCTCGCACAGATGCCGGGTTGCAGAGTAAGACC